TTAATTGCGATTAATTAATTACAGTCATATTTAGCTCGTTATGTTTTTTAATCGCGTTAATCTAATTTTTAATCTCTAACTTTACTGTTTCTGTACGCGAGTTGCCTTATTATAAAATCTGTTTTTATGTGTTGTTGGGACAATAACACATCGCTCCCGCAAACAATTGTGATTTTCATTCTCGTTCTCGCCACATCTGCGATAAACCTGCACACGTCTGATCTCTGAAAACATCACGACACAAACACAGAACACACTCACCTTCACCTTCAACACTCTGTCACAGAAAGAACACTCATATTCCACTGAGTCGTGTCCTTCAGTCCCACAGAAGCTGAACCGCATCAGCGACACAAGAGCATTTTTTTTTTCTCCCTTAGTTTATGCAAATTAGCCATGCGGTTTTTAAGTTTCGTTTCTGTGAGACTTGCGCAAATCAGCATTAAACACATTATAATTTCAAACGAGCTGATGTGGCTCTAGAGTGTTCATGGTTTATATGTAATAATAATAATGTAATCATGAATTTAAATGAAAATACCTCAAGTTGAAGGCTTTTCTCAGCAATTTTTAGGTGAGATTAAAAAGAGATTAATTAGATTAATTAATTACAGATCATAATTAATTAATCTCTCAATTTTTTTTATCGCCTGACAGCACTAAGTATAAGTATATAAGTCAATATAAATATAAGTTGAGTCCCAAGTCTTTGTCCATTTTATCAAGTCAAGCCTTAAGTCCTAAAAATAGTGACTCACGACTTGCAAGTCCCCACCTCTGGTCCAAAGTGTAGTTTTATCTTTCTGTTTCCATGGAGTCATGCAGGTGATGTGCCGCCTCCAGAAAGTTACACAGTAGAATCCAAAAAACTTCTGAATACTGTACACATGCATCTGCTCAAACCTACAGTGTCATTTCTGAGTTCAATTAAGGAGACAGGTTTGTACACGAGGCCTCTCCATACCTCACAGACGCGGCCCAAAGCACTCATTTTGTCATGATCCATTTCAAGGGAAATAATTATGCAGCTAATGCAATTTAATCCCTGCCCTTGCCTCCTCCTCTGAGATAGGGGCACGCGCCCGGCAACAGGAATCCAGGGTTGCTGCCTCATTACATTCAAAGTGCACATCTTTAATTGGGTTACACAGCACAACACAGGCCTGTACCTCAGAGCCAGCACGGCACCAATTTAGGACGTGTTTGATGCAAAGTAAGTGGGATTATAGGAAAGGGAAAATATAAGGACTCTTTAGACTGAGAGCTTATGAACTGAGCAGAGTAGCTTTTACTTTATCTAATGCTTTATACAGTCAGGACAGTACTTAATATTTGTCTCAGTTCTGGAGTATCTTGCTGTACTAAGAGAGAGCTTTATTTGACCTCAAACATTAATCTCCAAAATTCATATAAAAGATTATCCAGGTTAGTTATATTAAAGAGGGTCTCGACTGCCAGCACATAACATATTTAGATCACCATTTTAACTTTTCTAGTAATATACAAAATACTTTTACTTTATACTCTTTAAGTACATTTTTAAACAGGTACTTTCATACGTTTACTTAAGTAGATGTTTCATGCGATGCTTTTAGTTTGAGGCTGTCTTATAACACCCAGTAATGACACTTTGCACAATTAGTTTTATTTCTCTGTTTAATGTTTTGAATGTTCTGTATGGTGTTGGATTTATTGGAAAGCACTTTAGTCCCTTGAGTGTTGTAAAGTTTGTTTGATTGATTCATTACTACTACTTTTTATGTGGCTCCAGTATCTGTACTTTTAGTTAATTAACAAAATTGAGCACTTGTTCCACCACTGATTCCAACTACAAAGCCTGGTCAACCAATACATTTGAGTTCAGTTGTTAATGTTAAACGCCACAGTGGACAGTGAGGAGAGAATAATTGTTGGCTGTTGCATGCAGATGACTCACTTGTCTCTTTGAAACATATTTACTTTGAGTGCTTATCCTTCCTTTTATCCTGACTCCATTTCTCCTCTGCAGCCTGTGATCTAAAACGCTCCACTTTTGGCTCAAATGTCGCCCCCTAACCCCACCATGAAAAATGAAGTCCATTATGCAACTTTGAAATATTAGGAGTAATTGCCTTTTGAAAGCGCCCTTCTTTTCTGTCACTGATAAACATGTAATAGGCTTATTTTTGGTAAAGCCATGTGACTGGGGCAGTGTGACCTTCATGTGTAGCTTTGCATATTTAAGGACAGTGTATCCTGCAGTGTACAGCGAGTACACAATGACACACAAATGAACCTTTCAATCATTCACAGTGAAAGGGACTATACCACTGCATTTACTGATCTATGTTACACTGTTCACATACATACCTGCAGTTGTGTTTTGTTTTATTCACACATGTTTAACACACAAACCCTGCATATTTAGGCTGAGTTTTTCTCTCAAACGAAAACGCTCAGTTCCACCTTGTGATGTCATATAGTAATACAGGAAGTGCTCCACTATGTCTTTAAGCTCCATGCAATGTCATTTTGAGTCTATTCTATACATAAGTCATAATCTACAATGCAAATAACCAGGGAAATAAAGAAGAAAAATAAATGATAGTGTGTCCAAACTTTTGACTGACTGACTAGTTATTGTGTTTTTCAGACTATAAGACACACTTACTGTGGGTGGTCCTGCGACTCATATATTAAAATGATCACACTGAAGCCATGAGAGGGCGCTCTAGGCTTGAGTGTCAGTATCTGCTACTCCTATTACTCCTGTACCACTACTGCACATGTCTCCTGCAGAAAGAGCCACTGTCTTGTCTAGTATCATGTCAGTCGATCGCACCATTACTTCTGTACAAGTGGCAGTTTAAAAATTTAAACACATTTATAAATACAACTGAGAAGACTGAACCAAAATGCTCCCCAATAAGAAAATCATATTTTGCAGATTACAAGCTGCAAGTAGCGAAATATGCAGCCGAAAACAGTAATTGAGCAGCAGAAAGAAAGTTTGGAGTGAGCGAGAAACTTGTGACACTGGGAGGGTGCACCATGCAACTTTCCTGGAAGTCACTGGATGAATCGACAAAACCTGGACTTCGGTGACAACTGAAACCATCCTGTCAGGATTCAGAAAGGCCGGAATAATTCTGACTGGAACTGATGCTGAGTCTGACGACAGCTACATAGAAGAGAAAGTGGTGCTCCGTTTACCCCCAGAGGTCGCAGAGTTGCTCAGAAGTGACACCGAGCATGAAGAATTCAATGGAATTTAGTGATTTGGAGTGAGATGGAGAGTTTGGTAAACTTGTTCTGTTCTGTTGTTTGTGCTATAGTTATCTGAAGAACTGTTCCTTTTATGTCAAGCCCGTTGTTCTCTTCTAGTTTTATAAAATAAATTTCCCCCAAAAAGTGCAACTTATAGTCTGATATGACGGTATTTTTTTTTCTTCTTCATTACGGATTTTTTGGCTGGTGCGATTTATACTCCGGAGCGACTTATAGTCTGAAAAATACGATACTGAATGATCATGATGTCTAAGTCCAGTTTGTGTGTACAGCTCGGGTTGACTGTGCAGCCCACAGCCGCTGACAGAGCCCAGGGAGTCAGAGCCTGTTTCTGTTCTCTGACACTGACATGGTCAGCATGACCAGCAGAGCAGCGTGGCCTGTCTGCTAATGCTATTCCAGGCCTAATTTGCTGCTTCTGTACGTTCATTACCACTGCAATTATACTGTGGGGCTGCATAGGAAGCGCGCCTAAGTGAATTAGCTGCGAGCGTGTTTGGAGTGGGAGTGGATACTGGGAGTCTCTAAACCTTTTAATGATGGAGATTTTTTGCTGAAGGCAGAGCTCTGTTAATGGATTTGAAGGATGGTGGACGATTCAGTGGTCAAGAATGCTTTATTACGATCATTAGACGCAAGACTAGTCATAATAGCTGAATGTCTAAAAAAATTTTATATACAAATAATAATTAATAAATAAGTTACAGTTTAAAATGGTTAAAAAGCATAAATAAGTTATAAGTTACATAGTTAAAAGTATGTTTCATTTATGTAATGTTAAAAACTGTTAAAAGTACCTGGAAATAAGTTAAGGAGCTGTACAAGGTATATTGCAGTCGATGTAGTTTATTTAATTTTATTTTGAAATTCTACAGGAAGTGCTATGAATGTGTACTGCTGCTGCTGGCCATTTTTCTGTATTGACCTTACACACAGTGAACCGGAAGTGAGTGTCTGCGAAGCGTTAGCTTAACCTCGAGAGAAAGACCGAGAAGAAAAAAAAACAACTAAATACGGAGATAATTTGGAACTTTATGGTGTATGACAAGCCTTTGGACTGTTGGCCAAATAGTCGGAAGCAGAGACTTGTTTTACACGATTGTGGAGAGCGCATGGACGTTATTCAGCCCGAAGATGGACCTGCCCACCAGTACAGAAGGAAAGTTTTAGACGTTAGCTCCGTTTCTTTTTTTTTTTTGCATTCGCTAGCTAAGCGGGTGCTCTCAACTGAATTAGTAGTAGTAGTTAAAACAGCTTACTACCAAGACTGTTTTATTTCTCAACTTGAGATTTAAAAGCCTGTCGTTTAGAAGAGCGGGATCGTGTGTGAGGGACGTACGGGAGGAGACCAGCGGGGAGCAGTGGACGTGACCGCACCGCCATTTTGGAACCTGTAAATGCGTTTCATCCAGATCTGACTTACAACAACTGTACACAAAACTACAAAACCAGGTACCTAAAATATTTTATTTGGCTCGGAGAGTGAAGCGGCCATTCTGTTTTGGGCCACACCGCTCCCAAGCAACGCACAGGCCTGCACCGAGAGTTGTTTTAAGTGTATTATAACTTCTTAGTGTGTGTGTGTGCGTGTGTGTGAGTGGGCCCACTGTTTACTATTTTGATATTGTCTACGTTTCATTCACAGTTATTTTCTTAAAACTTTACTAACCCAGTAAATTTGCATTATTAATTCATTCTGCTCGGTTTCGGTAATTTCTAATTAGAGTGGTAAATAATTTGATTTCTATATTTTGATTAGAATTGGAGTTACTAAGGAACTCAGGAGCCCTTACCTCGCTATACTGGGTTTAGGTGGGCTACATAAATGGAGGCACCGCTGGGATAGATTTCATTTATTTACTACATTTGGGTCTAGATAGCTGCATTCAGAGCTTTGTTACACATTCACAAAAGCACACAACATGGCTAACACACTAGTTGACAAGCTGAAGAAGTGGTGTCGCGGAGAAGCACTAGAAGAGAGCCACGCCCTGCTAACAGTCATCCCTGAAAACACAGAGATAGCACTTATTGAAGAGACTTTACAGAGTATCAAGTGTCTTGGTCGTGTCCGAGTCAGAGGGCGGATCTTGAGTGACAATGATGATGAAGTCTTAGTGCTGTGTGAATGTAGAGAAAAAGTAGTGGCAGGGGAGGTTCCAAAAGAAGTGCTGACCGCTGAAGGCTTGACTGGATGGCCCATAGTTACAGCTTTTGACATGCCCACTGCTGAAGATGACTTCCAGGTGAAACTGAGGGCTCTCCTACAGGCTGAAGGAAAAACCATTGATGATGTACGGACCTTGTTCCCTGAGTCACAACAATCTACTTCTTCTTCTGCAGAGTCCCTCATTCGTGCTGTCACAGATCTGTTGGACAAGACAAGCAAACCCGCATCAGAAAGTGGAGGTTATCGCCGTCTGCGTGTCTTCTCAGGTGTTGTGCCTACTCCGGCTGGAGAGGAACAATTTGACCATTGGCTAGAGCAAGCTTACCTGATGGTCGAAGAGAGTGATGGTTCTGACAAAGACAAAAGGAGAAAGATCATGGAAAGTTTAAAAGGTCCAGCTCTTGAACTGATCAAAGCAATACGTCTTTCTGATCCTGACGTCACTGCGGACAAGTGCTTAGAAGCCCTCGAGAGTGCGTTTGGTCTTGCTGAGTCTGGTGATGATCTGTATTTCTCTTTCAGACTATTGCAGCAGCAGCCTGTTGAGAAGTTATCAGACTTCCTGAGAAGACTTGAACGTGCCCTGGCCAAAGTTGTGCAGCGAGGTGGCCTGCCAGCTAGAGATATGGATAGAGCAAGAGTGGACCAGTTACTCAAAGGCGCAGTGAATGCTGATTTGATGCTGTTGCAACTCAGATTAAGAGAAAGGAAAGTCAATCCTCCAACCTTTCTGGAGCTACTAAAAGACATCCGGAAAGAAGAAGAGTACGAGGCTTCAAAAGTAAAGCTCAGTCAGTCAGTCCACACTGTCCATGCCAAAGTTCAAGCTGAAAGCAAACAGTCAGAGATCCTCAACCTAAGAGCTGAAATAAAAGAAGTCAAGTCCATGTTTGCAGCTCTCGCCACTCAAAGTCAGTCTGTGGAAGTAGACCTTCCAGAAAAGCATCCAACCCGATCTGAGAGTGCTACAAGTTTGGATCCCGAAGTACAGGCTTTGAGAAAACAAGTCAAACACCTGCAACAAAAGGTGAATTCAAAGACCATCAGACGTCAAAGCTCAGGTCCAACCACTGTAATGGCAGTAAACTCACCTGTGAAAACAGCACCTGAAACTGAAGAGCGCTTCTGTTATCGCTGCGGTGAAAATGGTCACTTGGCAGGAAAATGCAGTAGGCCTGAAAACCAGACCAAAGTTATTCAGAGACTTCTTCAAGCACTTAAGAGAGCCAAGACCAGTAGCTCCCAGTCCAAAGCAGAAAGTCCATCGCAAGACCCTGCCTGCACAGTAAGAAAAAGTACTATTGATGTACTGCAGTCAGCAGGTATACCCGAAGGCTTAATAGGCCCACCCTCAGTAGAGCCACTGAGAGTGAATGGACATCTCTGTGACGCGCTTTTGGACAGTGGATCTCGTGTGAGCATAATTTTCGAGTCCTGGTACAGAAAATACCTGCCAAGCACTCCCATCTATCCGGTAACCAAGCTTGACATCTGGGGCCTAAGTGACTCAAGTTACCCCTATCTCGGTTATGTCATTGTGGACATGGAGTTCCCAAAGAAAGGTGACTGGAGCCCCAACAACTATGTCTGTCTTAGCCCTGATATGTCCAGACCCGCCAGGTCCTGACCAGACACCAGTCATCATTGGGACAAACGCCAAAGCCAGTCTGTCAAAGAGATTGTCCCAGCTATGCATGGATACCCCAGGCATTTCAGCCCATGCCTTTGGCATACAAAGCTTCTGCCCTGATAAAGCTGCAGGCAACCTTACACCAGTTCAAGAAGAAGATGATGGAGTTGGTGTTGTGAAATGGGAGGGCCCTGGATCTTTAACAGTTCCTGCAGGCACAAGTCTCAAAGCAACCTGTACAGTAGTGCTGGAGCAACCACTCCCAAACGAAATCTTCATGGTCGAAGCTTCAACAACCTTTCCTCTGCCTGCAGAAGTATTGCTTCAGCCTATGGTGATACCAAGCAGTGCCATCAAACACAGCCAATGTACAGTCTTGATCCAGAACGAGTCCCTTAAAAATGTGAACTTACCTGTTGGAACTGTTGTGGGTCGTCTCTGTATTGCTGATGTTGTCACCTCTATGTCTTGTCATGAGTCCACATCTGAGGCTTTTGACACCAGCCAGATCAACTTCGGAGAGTCACCTGTACCTGAAAGCTGGAAGACAAGGCTGTGCCAAAAGTTAGCTGAAAGAGCAGCTGTTTTCTCCCTTGATGAGCTAGATGTGGGATTAGCTAAAGGTGTGGAGCACAGTATACGCATGTCAGATCCAAGACCATTTCGTGAACGCTCCCGACGCATTGCTCCTGCTGACATTGACGATGTGCGCCGCCACATCCAGAAACTGCTAGCCGCAGGCATTATCAAAGAGTCCAGAAGTCCTTATGCATCCCCAATAGTGATCGTAAGAAAGAGGAATGGCGATGTGAGAATGTGCATAGACTACCGCACCCTCAATAGCCGCACTATCCCTGATCAATACACCACACCACGCATTGATGAAGCACTGGACTGTCTCTCTGGTAGCAAGTGGTTTTCTGTCCTTGACTTGAGAAGTGGTTATTACCAGATTGCTATGAAAGAAGAGGATAAAGAGAAGACAGCCTTTATCTGTCCTCTGGGTTTCTATCAGTTTGAAAGAATGCCCCAAGGCATTACGGGCGCCCCCGCAACTTTCCAACGCTTGATGGAGAAGGCGGTTGGTGACATGAACCTTCTGCAAGTCCTTGTGTATCTGGACGATTTAATAGTGTTCGGGAGAACACTGGAGGAACACGAAGAAAGGTTGCTGAAAGTCGTTGATCGTCTTCAGGAAGTTGGGCTGAAGATATCACTTGACAAGTGTCAGTTCTGCCAAACCAAAGTCAAGTACGTGGGCCACATAGTCTCCGCAGATGGTATCGCGGCAGACCCAGCAAAGATAGAGGCCGTTGTCAACTGGCCCAGACCCCACAACTTGAAAACCCTCAGATCTTTCCTTGGGTTTTGTGGGTACTATAGACGTTTCATCAAGAGCTATTCGTCGATCGTCCGCCCACTTACCGATCTCACTAAAGGCTATGCTCCCAAGCAGAAAGGAAGGAGTCACATCAAGTCACAAAAGAACCACTACCTTGATGAAAAAGAGCCCTTTGGATCACGATGGGATGAAGCCTGTACCGAGGCATTTGAAAAGATCAAGCATTGCCTGACAAACGCCCCAGTACTGGCTTTTGCCGATCCAAACAAGCCGTACGTGTTGCACGTTGATGCAAGTCTGAGTGGAATTGGTGCTGTCCTTTATCAAGACTACTCAGAGGGACTGAGGCCAGTGGCATTCGCAAGTCGCAAACTGAGCCCCTCAGAAAGAAACTACCCCATCCATCAGTTGGAGTTTCTCTCCCTGAAGTGGGCGATAGTGGAAAAGTTTCATGACTATTTATATGGAGCAAGGTTTACTGTGCGCACTGACAATAACCCGCTAACATACGTCCTCACCACAGCAAAGCTTAATGCAACAGGGCATCGTTGGTTGTCAGACCTATCAGTTTACGATTTTGACATCATCTACCGACCTGGACGAAACAACATTGATGCTGATCTGTTGTCAAGGATGGAGCTCGGAGAAGATTCTGGGTGGAAGAGTATATCTCATTCTGGTGTCAAATCAATCTGCCAACGTGTTGGTGCTCTCGACTCCCCTAAAGAATCTCCCAAGTATGTGGAACAGCTCGGAGCCCCACCCGAATGTATTCCTGAGGTGTATGCTTATCCAACACGCATGCAGCTCAACACCCCACGTCAAATGTCCAGACAAGAGCTTGTAACAGCCCAAAGACAAGACACAGTGATCCAGACCACCCTGCAGGCAATGAAGTCTGGCAAATGGCCAGAAGATGTGAAGTCAAACCCTGAAATGCTGGTTATGAAAAGAGACATTAGAAAGTTAGCCATGAAAGATGGGCTGCTTCATCGAGTGAGTACAAGCCACACAGGAAAACAAACCAACCAACTTGTACTACCTGCTGAATTTCGAACAGCTGTTCTTAAGTCTCTACATGATGATCTTGGCCATCTAGGGGTGGAAAGGACCACGGACATGCTCAGAAGCAGATTCTTCTGGCCAAAAATGGCCACAGATGTGGAGCAGTACATAAAAAACTGTGGGGAGTGTGTGCTGCGGAAAACACCAAGTCAAAGAGCTGCACCTTTGCACGAGATTGTCAGCACCGGGCCAATGGATCTGGTGTGCATAGACTTCCTTTCGATGGAGCCTGACACAAAGGGAATAAGCAACGTGCTTGTAGTAACAGACCACTTTACGAGGTATGCACAGGCCTTTCCCACTAAAAACCAAACTGCTCTCACTGTTGCCAAGATCCTTGTCGAAAAGTACTTCGTTCACTATGGCCTGCCCTCACGTATTCACTCCGATCAAGGCAGAGACTTTGAGTCGAGACTCATTAAAGAGCTGCTGAAGATTCTGGGGATACGCAAGTCTCGCACAACCCCGTACCACCCCCAGGGTGACCCGCAGCCTGAACGGTTTAATCGCACACTACTGTCAATGCTGGGTACGCTAAGTCACGAGAAGAAGAGGCATTGGAGTCAGCATGTCACTCATCTCGTACATGCTTACAACAGTACCAAATGTGACTCCACTGGTTACTCCCCATACTTCTTAATGTTCGGGAGAGAAGCTAAACTCCCTGTTGACCTTTGCTTTGGCACCAGTCCTGATGACAATGGAGAAACACAACACTCAGCCTATGTCACAAAGTTAAAGAAAGACCTTCAAAATGCTTATAAGTTGGCAGCTGAAGTTTCAACCAAGAGTCACCTCAAAAACAAAAAGGCCTATGACAAGAGATTGGGGTACCAGAACCTTGAACCAGGAGACCGAGTCCTCATAAAAAATCTTGGACTGAAAGGCAAGCACAAACTTGAAAATCGTTGGTGTGATATCCCCTATGTTGTAATGCAGCAACTTCCAAATCTCCCTGTGTACAAGTTGAAACCTCAAAATGGCGATGGAAAACTTAAGACACTGCACAGAGACCACCTCTTGCCAATCGGAGATCTTGTGAGAATGCCTATACAAGATGAAGGAGATGAAGTGCAATGGAAAACACGTACCCGAAATGATGTGCGAAGACAGCATGCTAGTCATCAAAACTCAACACAAATGGAGAGTGAATTATCCTCTGAGTCATCAGATTTTGAGTATGTCCGACCTCGCAGATCCTACAGAACTTACCTTGAACGCATGTTAAGACGAGGAAATGAGACAAATCGTGACACACCTGAGCAGACTGATGAAGAAAACCCTGTTGAAGAATGCGGGCCAGATAATATCCATGAATCAGATTCTGGGCCTGAATCTGTCTCAAGTGATGAAGAAGATGTACCCCAAAATCCTCAGATCACACTGACGCAAGCACATAGACCAAGACGAACAGTTAAACCTGTCGTCAGACTCACATATGATAAACCGGGCATTTCTAAGGATCAACCTCTGAAAATAGTACATAGAGGCGTTACCATACATATTGGTAAAAGTTAACTGCACTCCTCACATAGTCTGATCGTTGTAGTCCGATGGGGACATCAGACGTTTAGAAGGGGGAGGGTGTAACCTAGACAAAAAATGTATATACAGTAATAATACAGTAATTGAAGTTCATAATATAAGTTACAGTTTAAAATGGTTAAAAAGCATAAATAAGTTATAAGTTACATAAATATTGTTAAAAGTATGTTTCATTTATTAAGTAATGTGTTTAAAAAACTGTTAAAAGTACCTGGAAATAAGTTAAGGAGCTGTACAAGGTATATTGCAGTCGATGTAGTTTATTTAATTTTATTTTGAAATTCTACAGGAAGTGCTATGAATGTGTACTGCTGCTGCTGGCCATTTTTCTGTATTGACCTTACACACAGTGAACCGGAAGTGAGTGTCTGCGAAGCGTTAGCTTAACCTCGAGAGAAAGACAGAGAAGGAAAAAACAACTAAATACGGAGATAATTNTTATGTCATTGTGGACATGGAGTTCCCAAAGAAGGTGACTGGAGCCCCAACAACTATGTCTGTCTTAGCCCTGATATGTCCAGACCCGCCAGGTCCTGACCAGACACCAGTCATCATTGGGACAAACGCCAAAGCCAGTCTGTCAAAGAGATTGTCCCAGCTATGCATGGATACCCCACGCATTTCAGCCCATGCCTTTGGCATACAAAGCTTCCGCCCTGATAAAGCTGCAGGCAACCTTACACCAGTTCAAGAAGAAGATGATGGAGTTGGTGTTGTGAAATGGGAGGGCCCTGGATCTTTAACAGTTCCTGCAGGCACAAGTCTCAAAGCAACCTGTACAGTAGTGCTGGAGCAACCACTCCCAAACGAAATCTTCATGGTCGAAGCTTCAACAACCTTTCCTCTGCCTGCAGAAGTATTGCTTCAGCCTATGGTGATACCAAGCAGTGCCATCAAACACAGCCAATGTACAGTCTTGATCCAGAACGAGTCCCTTAAAAATGTGAACTTACCTGTTGGAACTGTTGTGGGTCGTCTCTGTATTGCTGATGTTGTCACCTCTATGTCTTGTCATGAGTCCACATCTGAGGCTTTTGACACCAGC